CTGACCCCAAACTCCAGGTTTTGTGGCCTTGGGTGTCCCTGGGTGTCCCCGGGTGGCCTCGATGGCTCTGGGTAGCTATGAATGAGCCCAGATAACTCAGATTGCCGTGGGTAGCCTTGGGGTGGCATGAGTAGCTGTGGGTGGCCCTGGGTGACTCTGGGCATCCCTGGGTTAGCCCTGGTGGGCATGGGTGGTCTTGGATGCCCTCGACGGTCCCGGATGCGCCTCGGAGGCTGCAGCAGGCAGCAGCGCTTCTCGATGCTGGCACCGGCTCGGCGGACTCCCGGCCCCGAGTGTGACATAACAGGCAGTTTTACATAGTCTTGTCATCCCTACACAGCTGCCGAGATCAGGAAGGACGTTGGTTGGTTGGCGAGCCATGAATCATCAGGCGTGAGCAGGAGAGTCCTTTAGCGGCGGGGAGGGCAGTCAGGAGTGAGCTTATTTGAGCAGGAAATGGCCAGGGGAGTTAGGCGGCCACAGATGCGTCTGAGGTCCCTGGATACTATGGGTGAGGTTTCCCACGGTGACCCAGAGTGGCCCTCGATGGCCTAAAGTATGCCTGGATGATCCTGCGTCATCCCGAGTGGCTTTGAATGGCAGTGCATAGGCATGGATGGCCCTTAGTTACCCGTATGCCTGTGGGCAACCTGGTTCTACCAGGTGGCCCTGGATTTCCCTGCATGTCCCCAGGTATTCCAACCAGAACCCCAGACAGCCTTCAGTGGCCCTGGTGGCCTTTGTGGCCCCGAACGTCCCTCAGAGACACTCCGAGTGCCTCAGTGGACGTCGGTGGCCACCGCCAGATTGGGGAGGGGCCCACTCTGGTCCCCACGTGGGGTCTGGCATCACCCTCCGCTCCTCTGCGCCCCGTGCTCACAGGCGTGGCCCAGTGTCCGGGCGGAGGTGAACGGCGGGCACAGGGTGGCGACGTCTCCCGTGGGGACGGGGAGGGCGCCCGTGGACGGTGCCGTGCCGTCCACAGGCGTGGGCTTCACGGTCATCCTCATCTCGCTGTACGTCGGCTTCTTCTACAACGTCATCATCGCCTGGGCTCTGCATTACCTGTTCTCGTCCTTCGCGGTGGCCCTGCCCTGGACCCACTGCAACAACACGTGGAACAGTGCGCGCTGCGCGGACGACCCCGCGGGCAACGCCAGCGGCCGGCCCGGCCTCAACCACAGCTTCCAGACCACGCCCGCCGCCGAGTACTTCGAGTAAGTGGGCGTCCACACCCGGCCCGGGGCCCCCGTGTCTGCCGGAGTGGGGCTTGGGGAAGATGCAGAGCCGGCCCCCA